CCTTTTTCTTCAAATTACACAACAGGCTTAAAGCAAACAGGAAGATAATGGAATGAATGCTTTGATACTTTCTTGAAGAATTGTGGACTGTCATGCTCAAAATGTGATCCATGCATTTATTAACATCCAAACAAAGCATTATATCTTGGTATCTATGTAGATGACATGTTAATTGTTGGTACCCTAGAGGAAATAACCACATTTAAGCATAAAGTTGTGCAAAGATTCAAAGCAAGAGACCTTCGTGAAGCAAATGAAATACTATCTATGAGGATCCAGAAGCATACTGATGGCACCTTAACATTAGATCAAACAGCTTACATAGAAGAACTTCTGGAAGAGTTCAAATTAGAATCAGTCAGGGGAGCATCAACACCCATGGATCCCACTGTAAAACACCAAAAGTTAGGTGATGAAGAGTGGAGATATATAAAAGCAGAAAGTGACCAAATTCCATACAGGCAAGACATAGGTAGCCTATTATACCTTGCTTGTGGAACACATCCTGATATTGCATTTAGTGCAACCTATATGAGCCAATTTAATGAGAGACCATCTGAATTTCACTGGAGAAGTGTTAAACATTTTTTTCACTATCTTAAAGAGACCAAACATCTATCCCTTACATTCAGAAAGACAGGAAGAGCTCTTGAAACATTCTCTGATGCTGACTGGGGTGCTGACAAGGTCGACAGAAAGTCCTTCAGTGGATATGTTCTGATCTTAGGTGGTGCTGCAATATCTTGGTGCAGTAAGAAGCAGTCTACTGTTGCCCTATCGTCGGCTGAAGTCGAATATGTGGCTGCTGGCCTTGCTACAAAGGATAAGGGAACTATTGAAGGAAGTGAGGATGTTGAAGTTTATCCCATCACCCTCATTTATAAAAGTAGACAACCAGGCAGCTATGTTCATCGCACAAAACCAAACTACATCTGAATGCAGTAAGCACATGGACATCAAGCATCATTTCATCCATGACTGTACTGAAGAAGGTGTGATTAAATTGGAATATGTAAATTCCAAGGAAAGCATGGCTTCAAAGGCAATGTTAACCAACTTGAGAAAATATTGTAGTTATTTAACCACATGTGCTTATTGTGTGTATTGAACACCCTTTCATGTGAAAAAGTTGCTTCATCACAGAACAACACGGAACTGGCAAAGTGCATGTCTGCCAACTTTGGTTAACAAACCACTGTGCAAACCCGACAAGTAATGGGTGATCATCTGGCTGTAACAACTGCACTCTATGTACATGAAACGTATGTAAAGTTTCGCGCTGCAGTACACGATGAACATTTGTTAGAGATCTTCTGGTTGCAATGGCAAGCGCCTGTACACTGGTACTGTGATTTCGGTCCTCGGCATGCAACACATCCTTTTCGAATATGGGTGTTCATGCTCTTTACAGCCACTCAGGACCTTCAGTCCTGGCTCTGAAGGATCCATGTTCCGCCAGGTTCTGATGCATCCAAGCAGAGGTTTGATGATTCAGTTGCCACTTTGTTGGATATCTTTCCCCATACAACCAAACAGCAGCATGTCAATTTCTGTTGGCTAGGCCATAGATGAAGTGGATATCTGCCAACTCGGCATTCATATAACAGTTCATACAATGCATGTTCATCGCACGCTGTGCATGTCTAAAATGAGGAAACCACATGTGCCGACCTTGCGAGCTCATGTACAGCGCCACCTATCGCTTTCTGCCCCTGCATTTCGATATAACTGTGGCTCCTAACAATGTTCTCTACCTCCCTTCCAAGTTTGTACATGGTATTCAGGGGACACCCTGTATATGCAACAATATGTTATGCTGATTGCAGCATAACTGTTATGGGTTTCAAATAAGATATCATTTCTGGTTGAAAATTTTAACCAAAATCTTATCAGCTGATTAGATGGGCACAGAAAGCTTAAATATGGAAAATAGAAATTTTGGAAGTTAGATATAGCATTTATCGTGGAAGAAAAAATCATCATATATATATATACGTACACAGATGTTGTATAAAGAGTCAAAACATGCTGTAGAGACCGTAATTTGTGCTTACTCACTAAAAACTCCCTATTTAATTTTTGGATCAAAAATATTACACTAAAAACATTTTGCTCACTGGAAAGATTTGTATGGAGCAGAATCAAATTATTTTAGATTTGCAAGCCCAATTTACAGAAACAATACAGCTAGGTCACACTGGTGATACTTTTAAACATGTGGAATGAGATACAATGTTACCCAGACAAAACCTAAAACTTTCAGTATCTCTTTTAAACCAAATAGTTGTAACTGTAACAAAGTTCCTTAGACTAAACTAAAACTATATAAACAAAAATACTGTAAAAGCTAAACTTAAAAATATTCTAAATTCATTCTCTAAAACTTTAAAATTTTCTGAGTTTGTCTTTCCAACTACGCAACAGCCGCAATGCAATAAGCACATTAATTCCAGCACATAATATGTGTTGTTCTTCTTCATCACTTGCTTTCCAGACACCCTGCACTAAAACAATTGGAAATGCACAAATCTTTGAATTTTAATAAATGCAGCTTTGTTCATTTTCCCTGATAAATAAACAAGACTTTATTTCTTAAAATTCAAATTCCATTCTTTGATGTTATGGCAAGATAGTTACAACAGGACAATTCTGAAGTTAGTTACAACAGGACAATTCTGAAGTTGTGCCTCATAGAAATCACTTAAATGGCAGATATATTTTGAAATATAGTAGAAAGAAATAAGAAAACCACAAAGGTACGTTACATGTTTATTTATTTGACTAACTAACTGTTGCCATTCAGCAAAAAACGAAAAGAGCTACACATGAATATTAAAGAACATAGAGTGTATATTTATAGCATTGCTTTTGCAGATACAACATCATAAAAATAAAATAAAGATTATTTCTAACACTCCTCCTTGCCAAAGTATGGGGGGGAAAATAAAAAAAAAAAATAAATTCCACTTAAATTGATTAAATACAACCTGAAAAAAAATAAGGAATTTAAAAAAAAAAAAAAAAAAAAAAAGGAACTTACAGTAATTTTTCATAACTGAACAATAAAAAATTGGTAAAAGAAATTTACAAGTGTTATGAGCATACACAGGCACTTTTTATATCACACATCGGAGGGCTATTTGTGAAAACCTAAATATTTTCTCAAGTTGATTAACACTGCCTTTGAAATGTTTTTAGTCAGAAAATCAGCTATGTTTTCCTTGGAATTTACATATTCTAATTTAATCACACCTTCTTCAGTATAGTCACACTGCCTTTGAAATGTTTTTAGTCAGAAAATCAGCTATGTTTTCCTTGGAATTTACATATTCTAATTTAATCACACCTTCTTCAGTATAGTCACAGATGAAGTGATGATTGATGCCCATGTGCGTACTGCGTTGAGATGTAGTTTGGTTTTGTGCAATGAACATAGCTGCCTGTTAAACAACTCGCACAGCACCTGACCACGAGCCGCACAACAATGCTTTACTGTTAATGTGTGGGCAAGCATCATGGGGGACAGTTTACTCAACCCATATATCTTACCCCCTCGACTGGACTCTGACAAGTATCTCATCTTTCTACAGGAGGTACTTCAGGAACTGCTTACTGATGTCCTCATACCTGTTCGACACTGCATGTGGTTTCAACAGGATGGGAGGCCATCTCATTATGGAAAATGTGTACGTGACCATTTGGAGCGGACCATTCCCAAACAAGTGGATTGGGCATGATGATCCTGCTGCTTGGCCTCCCAGATTCCCTGATTTATCTCTTGATTTTTTCCCCTGGGGTGCCATGAAGGGCTTTGTGTATGACACGCCTATCAGTTTTACTTACAAGTTTCAACAGGACGGGGTGCCATCTCATTATGGAAGGTGTATACGTGATCATTTGGATCGAACGTTTCCAAACAAGTGGATTGGGCATGGTGATCCCGTTGCTTTACCTCCCAGATTCTCTGATTTATCTCCTCATGATTTTTCCCCTGGGGTGCCATGAAGAGCTTTGTGTATGACAACCTTAAAGCTTTGTGTATGACACGCCTGGTCAGTTTTGAAATGGACCTGGTGGTATGAATATCCATCACTGCTGCTACGATCCATGAAACACCCGGTAATTTCAAACATGTCCACCAATCCATGTCGCACCTGTCTTGTGCGTGCATACATATCAAGGGTCACAATTTTGAACACCTCCTGTGGTGCTTTTATGTCATACTTTTTATTTATTATTGGCCCTTTTTTTGCGTGTGTGTAATAAAGCGTTTTACACTAAATTCTGTGTTGTGGCCTTACTGTCTTTGTGTCTCTTTATCTCATTAGCATTATGTTTCCGCCTATGCTCTCCAATGTAATTATGGCTCCTCACAATGTTCTCTACCTCCCCTCCAAGTCTGTACATGGCATTCGGGAATTCCCTATATGCACCCTAACATATTGTTCTAGTTGAATGATCATTACTGACTGATACTTAAATATTGTGGGATATATGTTCAGATCAAAATGAATGTAGATTTGTCAATACTGTAAATATAACACAGGAGAAAATTAAATTATGATAGTTGTTTATTACAAGTATATATTTTAAATATATTATAAATGCTTGATTTTCTTTAATTAAATGTTAGTTAAATTACATGTAATTCAACTTTGCGATAAAATGTAATTTTTAATAAAAATAGCATTTTTTATGATGTTGGTGTAAATGTAGAAAAGTCAATTTTTACATGTGGCAAATTAAATCTAACAAAATATAATCCAAAATTTTGTTTGGCAGATCTTTCTAGTTATTGGAACAACCAGTTTATTTTGTTTACAAATGAAGGTTTTGTTGTATCAGAAGTGATAAATTTCTTGAAGGTCATTGCTGTTTTTTAAAACATGGAATTGGCAGGTCATGTGCTGGGTACAACAGATTTTTTTTAATTATTACATATTTGTCGAAATGTTCTGAAAATATATTCACCTTTTTTATTTAAATAACTTTTCAACTAGACATCTGGAAGCTCTGAAAATGGACTAGCTCCACTTGTGAAAATCCAAGCATTTGACCAGCCCCTGTATGATTGTCACTCAGCATGTATTTCAGAGTATGAAATACCACCTGATCCTGTATGGGAGGTTCCTAGAGAAAAGTATGACTTTTACTTCTTATTTTGAAATAAAATCTTGTTATAGCTCTCCTGTGTATACTGTTGTATAGTGTTCAACATTTCTTTTTTACATTAAGGCAGTTGGAAAAAAAATCCTTCAAAGCCAGTTTTTGGGGTTGCAAGGTTGCTGAAAAGGTACATAACAGGGTTCCAGACATGTTATAAAATACGTATTCCTGAGAATGTGAGGTCACAGTATATCCCGGACACCTGAACTGAGAATGTGACCATAAAAAGTTAACTACTGAACTGTTGCATTAAAGGCATTCTGAACAGTTTGTAAACCTTTTTTTCGGTATGACGTGGTGTTGATTTTTACAAATCAACTTTATTAGCACAAATTATCCATAAAAACACAGAAGCTACTTCGCAATATGCAAACTTTACAGAACTGATGGCAAAGTCAATGTGTTGTGAGCTGATGGTACGGACAGCTATTGCAGAACAATGTGACATCAGCTGATGGTGCATGCAGCTGAACATAATATAATCACAGAGTATCCTCCAATGACACACTCATGAAACAAAAGGGGTTAATTACAAAGAATTCTAGCAAAAAGTATACATATTCTGATAACAGTTATAAGTTAAAATGTCCAATTAAAATAAAATGCAAAGTATATATGAATGGTAATACACAGATAGTAATATAGCATGAAATCCTAATTGAAATATATAACTATGCGATGCATATTATAGTTAAATAAACATAATGAAAAGTTAGTAAAATAAGAATTTTAGACAGTTTTCAAATATAGGCCAAAAAAAAAAAAAAAAAGACTTCGCAGAAAGTAGTGGATGCTGCTTGAAGTTCAGGGAAGTTGCTGATGTCTTCAAATTGTGCAATTCTTTATCCATAATTTGTTCATTTGCAATTTTGTCATAGTCGATCAAAGAAATTTCTTCAATTCTTGATAAAGTATCTGCAACGATGTTGTCTCGGCCTTCTATGTGCTGTATATGAGTTGAAAATTGAGAGATGTATTGTAAATGTCTAATTTGACGAGGTGATGCTTTTTCTGGCTTTTGTTTAAATGCAAAGATTATGGGGTTATGGTCTGTGAATATTGTAAATGTTCTTCCTTCCAGCAAAAATTTAAAGTATTTGATGGAGAGGTAAATTCCTAGTAACTCTCTATCGTAAGTACTGTAATGCTTTTGTGCTTCATTTAGTTTTTTGGAATAAAATGCGATGCTACTTTGGTAGACAGTTGCACGGATTTTGGCGAGTAATACGACTTATGGTAAACCCATTGCTGGATAAGTTATTTATGGTAACTGATACTTTGTTGTCATTTTATTTTAAAAATAATGCGTTTTATTATGCATAAATTCCGTGTTTTAAATATTATTTATGGCTTCTAAATATTAAAAATCAATTTAATTTTGCATTTTTATTTGAAATAAAAATTTTATTGTTTATAATATTTTATGAAATTTTATGTTGTACATGATGTAATCAATGACGTCACCTTACTTTAAAACAAAGCCAAGACTTTAAAAGTAATTAGTTTTAATATATATAAATTTAACCTAATGTTTTAAACATTATTTATGGCTGTTAAATATTAAAATACAATTTAATTTTCATTTTTTTTAAATGATTTTATTGTATATGATAATTAAAATTGATGGGTTATAGAATTTGGTTATAGAATTTGATTGGTTATAGAATATTTGTTCATTAATGAGCGGTAATTAGCTCTTTGATTGGTTACTGAAAATTTGTGCATTACCGCGCCATTTTAAAATTTAATTCATGTCTTCGAATTCCTTCAAAGATGACTGTTGTTATTGGTAAGTACCAAGAATTTTTGGTATCAGAATAAAAAAATTGTCCTTTGTACTTCAGGGAGGGGCGGTTAAAGGATCTTTGAAATCTTAAAAACAATACCTATTAGTGGAGGTTTCCCCCCCCCAATTTTTTGTTATTTTTAATCTTCATCTTCCATTAATTTGGCTCTAAATTGCTTTCTCTATTATAAATTTTTTTGTTTTTTGTTTTTCATTTTTTTTTTATTCCAGCCATTGATATTAATTTTTTTTTTGGTACTTATCAATAAACGACAGGTTGAATGACTAAAAAAATTTGTAAGTATATATTTTTCTTTTATTTTATAATTGTATACTTCAATTTTCGTTAAAAAAATTAATACTCTATTTTCTCAAAAATTGCCGAGATAATCGTTGTCGCATATGTTTTAATGTTAATTATACTCTATATAATGTATTTTAAAGTATTTAAAGTTAGTACTATTTTAAATCTTTTAAATGTTGGTGTAATGTTTTTAATTCGATATTCAATTTAAGTAATATTTTAATCTAATTAAACGTTGGCATAATGTTTTTATAGCGGTGTTTTTATTCTCTTTCTTTGCTATATGAAAGTAATAATAAACTTACTTTAGTATTTTATACTCATAGTAAATGTATTTATTTACACCTGCCTGCCATCTTAAAAAACGACAACAATATTTACTTCTTTTAAAGTTTCGAATACTTTACTATGCGTAAAAACAGCATTTTCAATATGGCTGACGAATGTAACAACCGCGCCAACGTAAATTTCCAAAAATCCGTGCAACTGTCTACCAAAGTAGTACCTAAAATGCAACAGGTTTCCATCTGTTATCTTAAAATTGTTGAAGTACTGCTCCAATCACCGAGTCTGAAGCGTCTGTATATAATGACAGAGGTAGTTCATGATTCGGGAATGATAAGAGTGTTTGTTGTATTGACTAAATCATCTTTGCATCGCTGAAATTGTTCCTTAGCTTCATCGGTCCACTGATGAATTTTTCACACTTTTCCATTTATCTTTTTTTTGGGCTCATTTAAGGTAGTTGTGTAGGAGAGATTGGTTTTTTGATGCATTTTTAAAATATCTCTGATAAAAATTAATAAGGCCTAAGAATGTTTTGAGTTCGTGAAAGGTAGTTGGAAGCTTGTAATTAACAATAGTTTGGACTTTCTCAAGTAAAGGTCGTGATCCTTGAGGAGTAATTAAATAACCCAAGAATTCTATTTCTTGTGTGCCAAAGATGGATTTGGAAACATTAATGCGGAATTTATGGGAATTAATCTCTCAAACACAAGCTTCAAATGGATTTTGTGTTGTTCTTCACTAGCAGATGCTATCAGAATGTTGTCTAAGTATGGAAAAGCAAAATGTAGACCAGAAAGAACTGTATTTATAAATCTTTGAAATGTTGCTGGTGCATTCTTCAAACCAAAACTCATAACATTAAAGTCATATAATCCAAAAGGAGTAATAATAGCAGTTATACATCTGTCTTCTTTGGCAATGGGCACTTGATAGTAGGCTTTAAATAAATCTATTTTGGAATAAATATTTGTACTTTTTAAAATATGATGGAAGTCTCTATCCTAGGAATAGGATATCTATCAGGAACTGTTCTATCGTTTAGCTGTCTATAATCTCCACATGGGCGAAGAGTATCATCTTTTTTTAGCTCCACATGCAAAGGACTTGCCCATTGAGAACGTGAGGGTCTTGTGTTATTGTCCAACATGAATTGGAACTCTTGCTTAACTACTGCAAGCTTTTGAGGATCCAACTGTCTTGCTTTAGAATGCACAGGTTGACCATGTGTTATGATATGATGCTGAACATTATGTTTTAAACCTGATAAGAATAAATTTGGTTTGTATAAGTATGAGTATTGTTTTAGAAGAATATTAAATTTTAGTGAATGGGTTACTGTAACGATATCACTATTTTCACTGATGGAAGCAACTTCACCAGTTACCTTTGGTTGAGTTACTCCTTCAATCAGTTTTTTGCCATGTAAATCAATTATTAATTTAAATTTGTTAAGGAAATTAGCTCCTAAAATTCCTTTATTAATTCTGGCCACTATAAACAGAAATTGGAATTCACGCCCAAGTCCTAAATCAAGTGTTAACATTTTTATACCATATGTTTCTATTTCGGTACCATTCACTGCATATAACTTGAAATCCGGGGATTGTTTGTCTTGTGCTGATACAGGTAAAATGCTAACATCTGTACCGCTATCCATGAAGAAACACACTTTCAATTTTTTATCTCTGATAAATAGGCAAAATTGGCAACATTCTGTAACACTATCAGCAGTAGAGCTTGCCACTTCTTCTACTGCGCATTGTCGTTTCCCTGATTGGATGACTTATCACTTGACTAATTGCATGGTTGAGTACATTTACCTTGATGACACGTGTTACCGAAATGGAAATGATAAAAACAATATTTTACTTGAGGATTAAATCTTATCCTAGAAGTACTGCGAGATCATCTGCGGGATGGAGAGTTGTTTCTAAATCGTGCTCTCGATATATGATGAATAGTCATTTCGGCAATTCGCTGTTCAAGGGCTTGAATTTTCATTAACAGTTCTGTATTCAAGCAATTACCAGCTGTTGATACACCACAAATCTCTAGAAGGTGTCATATCTGAAATTTTATCAGCCATGATCGCCAACTTGGGTAATTCTTCATTACTCACAAGTATTATATTACGCATAGCAATTTCTCTAACCCGGCAATTTTTCTAACCATAACGTTTTAATTAAATTTTCGGACACATCCGATGTTGCAACAGATTTTAATTTTTGTAATAATTTACTGGGTTTCAATTTGCCTAAATCTATTCCTGTAAGAAGTTTTGTAATTCTAGTACTTTAGCTTTCTTTAAATAAATCCAGAAGCCTTGTTTGGGATTCTGTATATTTAGTAGCGGAATTACTTGTTACGATATCCCAGATGTTCTCAACATATTTGGGTTCTAACTGTGATACTAAATAGTTAAATTTTGTTTCTTCTGAAATAATTCCATTTATCTTAAACTGAGCCTCAACTTGAAAAAAGCCATATTTCTGGGAGATCCAACTAAAATGGAGGAATTTTGACACTTACCTTACACAGTTCGTGTGCAGGATCCGTGACAGTTTTATTGTCTTCAGACATATTTACTTTAAAATCGAAAGTCCAAAGCACCAGTTATTGGCTCTGACTCCAAATTAATCTTTAGTTTTACAACTCTGTTTCATCAAATAATGTCAATCCACGTTTTAAATCAAAAATAATCTTTATTTCATTTTTAGCAAAAGTAAATAACTCTTTAGAAAAATATCATTAATAATCTTTTGTTGCCATTCCAAGAACAACAAAAATCTGTGTACAGGTTAGAATGATGTGTCCTAAACTGAAAATTTTTTGGATTTCATTCTTAGCAATTTTTTAATCTATCCAGGAGATAGTCTCTTAGGCTATATAACACAGGAGGACTTATTACACTTTCAATGAAGTACATAGTAACACTCTCATTAAGATCAGGAAGTTTCTGCTCTGAAGGATAGTCAGACAGTAATTTATCATATACAGTATTTGAAAGAATTGCTTTAATACAAGTAGAGTGCAAATAAATGTGTGCTGTTGATACTGCAATTAATTTTTAAGTTAGTTTTGAACTGAACAAGTTTTCTGTTCTTTAAATTAGATAGTAAGTCGAAATAATGTCAAAAATCGGATCCAGTAATTTTATGTACATAAAAAGCAAGACTAAAATTTCAACAAAGTCCGAGCTCAAGATTTAAAAGCCCCCCTCCCAAACCAGAATTGGTGTACCGATGGCAGCAGAAAACATCAAAATAGTTATCTGATGCATTTCATCCTTGGTTGCTAAGAGAAGACTGACATCTGAGCCAGTGTCGCAAAAAAAAAAAAAAAAAAAAAAAAAGATATTTTGTTTCTACTAAAAAAACTGCGAAACTTGGAGAGTAAATTGCAAGTTGTCATTATGTTTTCCATGATTCATTTCTCAGAAATTTCTCACTTTTTAGCTTTTTCATTTAACTTATGTTACCAGCAATATGAAAAATTTAAAGCAGTTTTTAGAAGCACTGCGTGATCATCGTAGAGACAGTACCTTACCACATAAGTTTCAGACCTCATCTAGCAAGGAATCCTATTTAGAATTATTAGTCATATTGATTGATGCAGGTGAAGAAACTGCACTTACCTGAGTGGGTGGGATTCTAATATCCAATTCACAATGTTGGCGACTTTCGAAGAATTGAGTGGCTGAACAGATATGAGAATAGATTGAACATTTGGTGGCATTTGCTGAATACACAACTCCAATAGCAGTCAGTCAGATATATCGCATTTTTCATCACACCTTTTTATGACATGTTGGATGGATTTCTATCTCCAAGTTGCTCCTGGGTGAGTAATTTCCGGATTTTCTGGGTACTACTTTCCCCATAATGCTCAGTAATGGCAGCTTTCAGATTAGATAAGAAGCATCATTGGGCTTCTGAAGTATGATGTCTCAAACCAAAGAAGCAGAACAGTGATACAGTAGTTGAATATTGTCTTGAGATCTGTATTAGACAAAATTAGGATCTGTAAGCAAAAGTTGATTCACACATAGCAACCCATTGATTCCATATTTGCATGACAGTGGTTGGTTGTCAACCAGTGCGACGGGTGATATCAAGGAACGATAATCCACACTCTGGATCCTGCTTCTATCAAATTCCAACACTTGCTGGTAAGCATTTCTTCTTCTTATTCGAGGCATAACACGGTATTCTGAGCAAACTTCGACCTTACAACGTGCTTTCTGAATGAGAAATCCGCAACTTTTCTTTTATGCAGTGTTTCAGATGTCATTTCTCCCGTGTCGTCTTAAATGCACTGAAATTCTAATCATTTGCATATCCCAACCTCTTCATCCTTTCATGTGATTTTGACATTCGTCAGATCATTCCTTCCTGTTGTTGCAATTTTAATGGCCAGCAGTGTATTTACAACGTAATTAAAAAATTTTTACCTCCGTGTCGAAACCTATTGATCTTAATGGCAAGTCATTGAATGTTTTGGTCTCCAAGAGGGATGCACTACTGCTTCAATGCAGTGTATCAGAGAAACCAGTTCGGGACTTTCCTCATATTTCCTACCCCCATGGTCACATACCGTTTTCTTTAACAATGTTTTTTGGCCCAGAAAGGCATCTTGTTGTCCCTATGCCCACAGCCTACATGTTCTACAGACTGCAAACCCATTGAAGAGACCTGATTTTGAAACCACTGAAGACATGAAAGAGGCTGTGTTAGACCAGATGAAGAGTGGCAGGACTCTGAAAAACCCATTTGATGAAACTTGATTTTGGAACCACAGAAGACATTAAAGATGCTGCAACATACCTTTTTTATTTTGGAGTTTTAGAACTGCTTTGAAGAGTGGCAGCTACATCTTAGGCAAGGGAATTGCTTTGAAGGAGATTTGAGTAGGAATAGAATTTTAATGTAAATAAAAGTATTCTTAGAAAAGTCACATTATTTTATTGACAGGCTTTGTATTAATAACCCTTATGCTAAAGCATTTAAAAAAATTTTAATTGTGTATTTTCTCATATTTTAGGTTAATAATTGGTAAGGGTTTAGGTCAAGGTGCCTTTGGTCAAGTCATGCAAGCCGAGGCTATTGATTTATTTGGAGACAAGAAATCTGTGACAGTTGCTGTAAAGATGCTGAAAGGTAGCCATTATATTACTCTCTTTTCTAAAGTTGCATGTTCTTTCTCAATTATATTAGCTGGTCTACTTTTTCCCCAAATTGAAATCAGTTGTATAAGATGTCTTATGTTTTTTTTCCCTAATGAAGTATTTTTAGAAGATTAAATCTGGAATCACTGTGAAAAGGCTAGATCATACTTATCTTTTATGAAAAATTAATGATAAATTACAAATCAATTTAAAATTAATTTTAATTGATATTTTGAGGGGAATTTAGTAGTGAGTTGCAGAGATTTTGCATTACTCATTTATATTCTTAATTATTGCAGTTTAAATCAAATTGAAGCATTAAAGTGAAATTTGTAAATAGTGATGCGAGGCAGTGAGGGGTAGCCTGTATGTAATTCAGACTGCATATTTTTGTATTTGAAAGGTGAAAAGAAATATTTGAGCTGGAAATAACTTTTTAAAGATAATAATAGTACTTTTTTCCTTTGAAACTAATAAATGTGCGTGTTTCAAGCTGAGACTACTCCATGCATTACGAGTCTGTAGAAAAATCGTAGGCTGTTCCTTTGTGGTTGAGCCAGTCAAATTCTATATGAATACAAGAGTTGCAGAAAATGGCTCTCCCAAATATAAGAATTCTTAATCATTTATATTTTATGGCTAATTGAAAATCAGAAATGTTCACTAATCGTAGGTGCTTCCATTTCCTTGAATGTAGGTCTTCTTTATGAATATATTCTGGAATCTTTATTCAAGGACATAAGCACTATATAATGCTCTAGCAGATGAATATTCCTTAATAGATATGTTTCTTGTAATGAGAGTCTACTGCATTTTTGTATTAACTTTTGACATAATTTCATTCAACTTTATATATATATATATATATGTGTGTGTGTGTGTGTGTGTGTGTTTTAATTTCCTATTTCAAGAGTTTAATTAGATTTATTCAAAAATGTTGCATTTGTTTCTTTTGTTATAGAGGGTCATGGTGACCAAGATGCGATTGATTTAATATCTGAAATGGAGATGATGAAAGTCATAGGTAAACACATTCACATCATTAACTTGCTCGGATGCTGCACACAGAATGGTAATTATTTGACTTAATTACACATATTTAAGCAAGTATGAAATAATAATGTTTAAAAACTTGAATTATGACTACATTTTCTCTCTGATTATATAAATTGGTAATTACTAATTACTGTTGTAATAGTTTTAAAAGGTTTTTTTCTGAAAATTTAGGCCCTTTGTACGTAATTGTGGAATATGCAGCCAATGGAAATTTGAGAGATTTTTTGCGTGCTCGCAGACCAGTACCTGGGTATGAGGTTTCCAATACTGATCGAGAAGTTTTAACTGAAAAAAGTCTGGTTACCTTTGCATACCAAGTTGCAAAAGGAATGGAATATTTATCATCAAAAAAGGTAGAGAATTATTATTATTTTTTTATTTTAAACATCAGCTGAAAATATAAGTCTGTAACTGGCACTGATTTTTAAAGAGTTGTTTTTTTGAAATTAATGTTTGTCTTTTTTGCAGTGGCTTACTATCTGGTTTTAATACTATAATAAGCACCGTTTAATGTTATCTCATTTGTCCACGGCCATTTTGATTACGCTAACTGGATGATAACATTAAACGATGAGGGAGAAAAAGTGTCATTCAAAATTGCAATGGAATGTAATTAATTTAAAATAATAAGTAAAAACATGTAAATATTTATTTTCACAGCTTTTTAACCATGAAAAAGGCTGTTATTAGAGGATTGTTTGCAAGCTCATTGGAAAAGTTCATTTATGAACTGTGGCTAATGTTTCTGGAAAATATTTGACCGATGCTGTACTTCTAATCTTAATACTTGGAGGGCATTCCTTATATACACTTTTATAGGGAAATCACCGATTTTATCATTATGTTTTTCAGAAAGTTTTTTACACGATGTGCTTGGATTTGTTTCAGAAAGTGCCTGCATATATCTACTGTTTGAAGAAGAGAGACCTGTGTCTGACTAATCTCAAAATCAACATTCAAAATCTGCATGAAATGTAGGAAAAGATTGCTTCTTTGCCTAATTTTGAATGGCTGACTAAAATAAAAACCGAGCAGTTTATTCATTGCTTGATTTTCACTTTAGTCAGTCATTTAACCGTGCTTGGTTTATATTTTGACTTCTTTGGTGAAATTTTTTAGCCATTTGGCAATTTTAAAATTTATTTTTACTTTATTTGAAGAATTTCCTTTGGTTTGAAAAATTCAATTTATTACATTTTGATAGCATTAACTGAATTGTTCATAATAATAAAATTATGTATTTTTGGTCTTTTCATACACAAACAAGGAGACTTTGGCTATTCGATAGCTATATCCTAATGATAACATTAACTGTGATCACATTAAATAACATCTATTGTAGTTGTATGTGTTTTTTTGTCAAAACTGCTTTTTGGAAACTTTTTGTCTCAGCATCAGAAATACAGTTAAAACTTCAGTGCTATAAAGTAATTTGTCTCCTGAATTAGGTTTTTTTTAGTTATTTTCCCTCCAAACTTAATTTAAAAAAATACTAATGTAAAAGTGCAGTATTTTCCTTTCGTATTACTGTATTATTTTTCTCTCCATCCATTAGTTAACTGTTATTTTGACTGTTATAATTTGTCATCATGTATGCTACAAGATTCTGCAGGTTGAAATTAAAATATTTCAGTTTTAATTTTTTAATCTTGTAAGGTTAAATATTGTGAACAGTTTTTATTAGTGGTAGGGCCAAATTAAAAATTTTAGAAGCTCTTAGCACTAAAAAGCTTTTGGCACTCCACATTTATTTATGCCGGTTTTGTTCTCATTCTATTTCTCTTCATCTTGGTTTACCTTGCATTCCACGGTAAAGCCAGCAATGGGAAATTCTTTTCATGCTGTCTTTCCTTGATGCCCTAAACACATACATTGTGCATGATGCCAAAAATGGAGGAGTTGTATTTTTGATGAAAATATGTGGCTATGATAAGTACAGAATAATAAAAGTTCTTTCTCATTTTTATGACCCTTGGTGTTTAAATGTTGTCAAGAGTAGTGATAAATCATCAGTCTCAGTGTAAACTATTTAAATATGGTAAAACAAAGATGCTATTTGTTTTACTACCACAGGGAAAAATTTTTGTATCCATGTATCCATGCAGGAAAAAAATAATAATTATAAAAAAAAATCTGAAGGGTTTCAGATTTTAAATTACGTCCAAAGGGGTGGTTTTTTAACGTTTTGTGTGTTACCTTTATTTATTAAATATCATAATCTTTGCACTTAAACCATAAAATTCAGTTAAACAGCAATGAAACAAAATAATTTCATTATGTAATCATTATGTAAAGCTACATTATACTCTTTGCGTCTATAAACAGTATGGCTATGCCATTCTTTACAACGAAGTCTTCTGTTATCCTCGGACTTTACGATAAAATGCCAGCCATCTCTATGCAGTGGCTTTTGAATACTGAATTTAGTAGGTCTTCCAGTGGCTGATCTATTTCTGGCTAATTCTTAATTTCTCAGTTTGCAAAGGGAATAATGCAATCTTGCGTTTGAAATCTAAAGGAAACTTTTTATTTCCAGTAGTAGAAAGTTGGGATACTTTCCATAAATTTTATCAAGGATACATCAATGTAGCTAATAAATATTAGCCACCACCATTTTTTGTTACGAACTCTTATTCTGTTATTAGTTACTAAATTGTCAAATAAATAAACTCTCCCATTTTGCCATTGTATTGTTCAGTAAGATGAGGCTAAGATACAAAAACCTTTCTCCTTTACGTTCTTGAATAGCGGAAAGCTTTTTATGGGCTGAATTTTTCCAAATGTTGAACCAACAGTTGAAACTGTTGTTAACAACAGTTCCAACTGTTGTTAACAACAGTTCCAACTGAATCATCGTTCCATCGACCAGAAATTTTTTTGTTTTTTCTCTTCATAATGGAAATCATAATTACCCCTGCCTTTCTTACAGGCACATTTGTATGCTGTTTTCTTGAATTGTTCCTGTAGCATTAAAACCTTTATTAGATGACACAGAAGATGAAACCTTATGACGGTTCCTTTTTTATGCATTTCAAGTTTTCAGTTCTTTAAGCTTTTCCATATGACTAGCACTATTTTTAGAAGGCTGAAATTTACTTCCTATGGGAACTTCAACATTCCCAGCAGTATCATTTGGTAAAATATTATTATGCAAAACATTATCATTCCCTTCTTCTTCATCGCTAACTTCTGCAATTTCTGATGAAACAACGGCGATATCAGTTTCACTCTGGTCATTATCATCTGTTTCTTCATCAAAAAGACTTTAAAAGGCTTCATATCTCGTTTTAGGAATTTTTAAAGGATGGATCAACCAGAGCATCTAAAGGCTTGAGTAAAAAACGGCACTACCCTTTTCCCTTCAGTGCAACACCTATTTTCCTTTCCATCCCTACACAAATACAAGCAGCTATTGATAAGCAATGACCTTGGCTAAAAATAGATCACCCCTAAAGACGGGGATTCTGTCATTAAATTTTTTCGGCAAAAATATGTGGTAAAATTTTTGCTTCTAGTACGAGACTAATTATTATAAACAAAATTATTGTTGAAGACAAATATTTGTTTACAGAAATAATCTTCATAATATTCCCTACATAAAATCATATTTTAGTATAAAATATCATTGGTAGTTATATTTTTATATACATTTATTTTGACTGTTGCATCAACGTAACACCAGTGGTTAATGGGTTAACATGTTTTCTCTCTCTCTCTCTCTCTCTTTTTTTTTTTTTTTTTTTTAATATTTTAACAATTTTTGATTTGCTGAGGAAGATAAAAGCTGCAAATAGACTGCATTTTAATATATTTTCTTTAAAAAATTTTAATAATTTTTTATTTATCAACACCTGAGGAAAAATGCTTTATCATTTTACTTCATTTCAGACAAAGTTGGTAGTAACTTGGTGCCATTATTATGCGGGAACCTTGAAATGGAATGTACCAAATGAATTGATTAAGGGGGGGGATAAGTATGATTTAACTGCGATTTCAATAGTATAAAAATGCCTGCTGCTATATCATTGTGCCCTGGTTTGAATCTCAGAGAAGACATATATTTTTTTTTTGTGGCATATTGGTACTTGAAATGCTTTTAAACTGAGTGTTCTTGAGAGTTTATTGGTAGGGAAAGATGGGTAGGAGATTCCTGAATCTGTCTCTGAGAGTGCTGTATTGATTGGAACAGAGTTGGTCAAACCTGCACTGTCCCTTATGAGGTGCCCAAGATCCCGACTACAGACAGATGCTATTCTCTCCCTATCAGCCGTAGTTAAGCTGTGGACCTGAGCAGGAATCTGGTCTGAGAGTCGAAGGACAAGGAACAACAATAGAATGATTCCAAATTTCGATAAATACATTTTAAGAACTCCATGTTAGTCTTTCAATATCACACTTTGGAAGACTTCTCATTTCATCAGAGATATAGATTAATTTATCTCTTAAAACGGATTTAAAAATTAATTATCCTTGTAGCAAACTTGATGGTTTTTTAGCCCCAGAGTTTCTATTAGATTTCACTTTTTGTCTCTATCACTTTTTAGATGTTACCACCAAATGTTATCGCCATGTATTACTTTTGAAGAAATATTATAACAAATATAATAAAATGTACAGCAACATTTAGCATTTTTATCAGGAATTCTAACGACATCCGATATCAAATATTTTTTATATATATCAAATATAAATTCCACACACCAGTTTATTGCCTTTAAGCAAGGAGTAAGATATTTAATTTTTCTCTGAAATTTAATCTACCTCTTATCGATTGACAAACTAAGCTCTTTGAAAGCAATAAATGCAATTCTTCATTGCTTTTATTAATTACCAGCTGAACCCTTAAAATGACAGTAACTGGATTTATTAGAATCTTTATATATATTTTCTTTTTTAAGATTAATTTTTTTAGGTTGTTGACTATGCCAGCAACAAGTTACTTGAAAAGTGAAATAGACAACAAAAATGATTCGAGACAGAAGTGAGGTTTGAGAATAATAATCCTTTTAGTCTAAAACAAATGTAGCAACAAGATACACCGTATCAGGAATTTAAAAAATTTTTTAAAAGACTCTTCTAAATTTTGTGATTGGGCTGTCGAATTTTATGTGGCATTAATGTGAAGAAAGTTATGTTTAATAATAAAGTTAAAAAGACAAAAAAAGTTGTATCAATGGGAGTGAGTCTGTATCAGATTAAGAACAAGTTTGGCAAGAGCATAAAAAGCTTTACAAACCCTCTGGTGCAAAGTTAAAATCTGAATCCCCTCATATTTTTTAATATTAAGTTTTTTGAGTGGTATGGAAAAGCATTTTCAAAATAAGTAGTGTAAAAGTATTTTTATGATCATAAAATTGTGTATGGAGACATCTTAGAAAAGTTCAGGATAAATAAGAACGTATTCTTCAAATGTGTATGATTATCTAGCTGATTTGCCCTAACATATTTTAATAAAAATATTTTGGCATTAAATAATGTTCTTTATAACATTAAAATGAAATTGCCATTACTTATTACAGCATTTCCTAAACTTAGTTTAAGTGTTCCATAAAAAAATTACAAAACTCGAGTTAAAAATGAATGAATGAAAGTTGTGAAACTGTTTTGCATTTGATATAAGAATTTAGGTTTCTAACAATGTGCTACATTGTAGTCAGTGAAAATGTTTTAATTTTCTTACACTGTTTGTTTCATTTAATTAGTCTTACCTATAATTTTTTTTTTCTGTTTTTTTGTGAAATTAAGAACTGAAAAATGTTTTTTTATAGGTATAATATAAAAAATGAAATAAACATTCATTTTGTTTATATAATATATCTGCATGATCATATCTTATTAATAATTCCAAACTTTAATGCTCCTTAGAAATATTAAAACTTAAAAAATGTTTCACAATGAGAACAGCTTGGGAAACATTAATGTCAAATAATGTTAACATGCAGTTATTATTAATGTTAACATGCATTACTTAATGCAATTTTTATTCAGTAGTTACTCATTAAAAATTCTAACAAGTAACGTTAATAGTTTTGCTATGTATTTTATTTTATTCATGTTTCTTTATAAATTTTTATTTTAGTGCATTCACCGTGATCTAGCTGCTAGAAATGTTTTAGTTATGGAAGATAAAGTGCTGAAAATAGCAGATTTTGGTTTTGCTCGTGATATTCATGCAAACGATTATTATCGCAAGCGGGCAAATGTAAGTGAATTTCATTTTGTGTTGTTGGGGGCATACATTAAAAATTGTGCAATTATGCTTTTGGTAAGTAATATTTGAATGTATATATTATTCTTTTCTGTAAAATAAACAGGTCTTTGAAACTATATTTACTCTTTATTGTTTTTTTACCAACAAAGCAATATGATAAATTTAGGTCTTATTTCTGCTTTGTTTTCATTTAGCCTATAGAGTCATTAGGTTATTTTGAAGTAGGAGACATGAAAAATGAGCAAACGCCCTCGCCAGGATTCGAACCCAGACCTCTCGAATACGTGCCAAGTGTACTACTGTTTTACATCATGAAGTTTATATAGAAAGGCGGGAGAAAATACCTTATAAGCTGCTTATCAGCATTTCTCATCTTTTTCACACTTAGAATAATATACATGTCTAAGGGAGTCCTTGCATAAAAATTATTGTGCGGACAGAAGAAATAATTAGAAAAACAAAGAGACTTAAAACCAATGAAAGTATTCATGAACTATATTTTGAAGATTCATGTAGACAGATAATATCGTTAATGATAAATAAAATTTAGTAAATGGCATGGGAGAACAGAAGGCAGAACCTCTGTTACAGTATTTTTTATTTCTGGTATTTGTTTTGGAATTAAAGCGGAAATCTTGGTTTGAGTAATGTAAATAAACAGAGCTGGTTATTTACTACACCAGCTGATATGAACACATGAGGGTATTCTCGATGCTTCTAAATGCTTTTTTTTTTTTTTTTAAATTTTTTATTTTTGACAATATAGAGATATTGTTTTAGAAGTTTTATTCATTCCTCATAGAATTTGCCTAATGTTGAAGCAAAAATTTTGTATATCACTTATAGAAACATTTTTTATATTTCATTTGTCAAGGGAAATGTAATGATAAAGTTTTCAAACTAATTCTGACAACTATCTGAGTGTCCCTTTCATAATATGCCAAAAAATGACTAATTGGATCGCAAATTTAATTTATCCAGATTTTATTCAGAGTTAGCCTTAGTACCACAAATTGCTTGTGCCAACAAAACTATTAATGCATCATTCCAAGAGTGCTTTTCGGACATTTTGGTACCTGTTGCGAAAGGGTTAATCTGTGACAAGGCAATAAGAGTAACGAAAACTACAAAATGCTCATAATTTGTTCCTGGCTGTATTTCTGATGGCTTTAATAGATTTTTAGATTTTTCACACTACAGTAAATGCTACTTAAATCAGTCACTTTTGTTCGTGGCTATTTTGATGAAATTCGACAGTGAGAAAACATATCTTTTGAAACAGTAACTAACTAGAAACATATAAATAAACACTTTAACCCCTTCGAGCCGGGTAGCGAAAACGCGCACTTATCGCAGAGGCCGGCAGTGTCTTCCGTGAGCGTCTCTCCAGGGCCGGGGGCTTTTTTGCTACTAAGCCTAAATCCATGAAATTTCCGAAGTATCAATGCATTGTTTAGTAATGCTCTATAGAGTATTTAAACGGCTTATGCTTTATAGAATATTTTTATATATATACTTTAATTACCTTATTTCTTGTTTAAATGCATATTTTACACATTTTATTTTAATTACTCACCATTTTATGACTTTTAACATTATACATCTGAAAACTAAATATATTACTTAAAATTCTCTTTTCGTATGAAAAATTTGAAAACAGGGATCTACACACAGTCCTACGTTACATTCCTTGAACTCGTAATAACTCATTTGCCGTTTTGGAGGATTTTTCCGGGAATGTGAACAAACGAAGCATCGTCGTCTCATTTTCTTATCAGTCTCTTCTGAACAAAGTTTTGGAAAATGTCTTTCAGTTAATCTTTCAGAATCAATATCTGAAATATTTTGCATCATTTCTGCTATTTCATGCTCTGTTAAACATTTTCGACGCTTCGACATTGAAACGGTAAAAACAGAAAGAATTCACGTCTAACAAGATCTAATTATTTTCTAAAAACTGAACTGTAAACCGAAATACTCAACGCTTTAGCGCATATAAAACTTCTACTTACAATAAACAACTACCACGTGCGAATAAAGTGCGATTTAAAGAGGCGTCATAAATCACGCCATTCGGAAACATTTAGTTCCCCGTTTGTTTATTTAATCAAAAACACGTGTATGTGAGTCATGCTTCTCTCATTTCAAGTGTGTTCGTTGCTGGCATGTATACGTGACAGTCGGCGCGAATGGGTTAATTTCATCAATTTTACAGCATTTTAGTTAGGAAAATGGGAGGGTAATGGTGAATTCTGCAAAATTTTTTGCTCCCAATGAAGAGATGACATTATCTGCGTTTCCTCAAAATCGAGAGTTATTAAAAATCCATATCAAACTGTTTTTTTTGGGGGGGGGTCAGAGGTCTAATTTTAAATGCTTGGTGCTTTTTTGACAACATTTGTCTGTCACAACATTTGTCAACAATTTGTATAATCAATTTTGAACTTATTTGGCAACTTTATATACTTTTCAGAAATTTATTCTATAATGTTTTGCTATTAATCAAATTGTCAAACACAATAATTTTCTATGCTTCCATATACTAACGGGCAAAACATTGAGAATTCAATAACATGTCTGAATGATAACATTAAATGCGATCACACTAAGCAGCATCTACTGTATATAATGTAGTAGAGGCCAGATATTTTTATATGATTCTCTGTGAAGGATTACCTACCCAGAGATGTAGATAGGCACAGTGTATTTCATCATGATCACATAATGCAGATCCTTGTCTGTGATATGATGCCCACCTCGGAAATTATGGAAATTTGTGCTGTACTTGTCTTCTGCAGCGACCTTCATGACAGGAAACATTGACACAGTTTGGACTTAAGTATGATTTGTTGCCAATGTTATAAAACATCCACAAAATCAGAAATTCATTTAATAGCCCTACAACATAGGTTATTTGATGTATATACACAGAAGGATTATAAATTTGTACTTATTATAGCATTTAATACAATTTTGTCAGCAATTTAATTAATAATAATAAAACCATAATAGCATAATTCAACAGAATGTATTTAAGATATACAGTAGTTACCTTATTTAATACAATAACATATATATGTGCCGGGAAATTCTATTTATTATTTTATTTAATACAATTTGTTAGAAATTTGTTCAGAAAAAAACAACATATCTGGAAAATTCATTTTTGAGACTCTTTCTGGTAGTCATTGTACAACGATGGCTCCTAATAATGTCGCAAACATCAACTAGAGCTTGTTTCATTGGTGAGAGATTAAAAATGGCAAGCGTAATGAGTATTTTATGGAAAAAAATGTGATAATGACAGAATGCATGTATGAAAAGTTAGCTATGAAGTAGCCTTTGTTTTTTTCACATGCACAAATTGGTAACTGTTTCTCACACATGTGGTAATCGCTTGTTTTTCCTCAAAGCAGAAAACGTGCCAAATTCGCTGTCTCACCAGGGCCACTGCAAAATTCAAGTACCGTTTGTACTGTTTCACACTCTGTGAAGTGCAGTACTTAACTTTTTTTCAATTACTTTATCCAAGATTTCAAAATCAATTTGAAACTTTATTGCCATTTCATATTTTTGCTTAGCATTTCTTGAGATACATAATAAAAGCGACATTTTTTTAATTTCTAAATGTAGGGTTTACTTCCCATAAAGTGGATGGCTCTGGAATCTCTCATAGATCGAATTTATACTACTCAAAGTGATGTGTAAGTTTCATTGCAAAACATAAAATTATAGTTTATTGATATGTTTTCTAAAGTTTTACATTGATGAAGGAAAACAAGTATTTCTTTTGCTTTAGATGGTCTTTTGGTGTTCTAATGTGGGAAATTATGACTCTTGGAGGACTGCCGTATGCTTCTATACCTCCCGAGAAACTTTTTAACTTACTGAAAAGTGGGCATCGTCTCGAAAAGCCAGAGAAATGTCCAGTAGACATGTATGTGTGCAGTATATGATTTTTTTTCAATTCATTGTTTTATTTCTTATATCAGTGCAGAATTTATTTTCATAGTAATTATATCCTTTCATTTAAAGTAATTAAGTACCAATTATTTGTTTATTTTAGTCGTGGAAGAATTATATAAAAGTTGATAAGGACTGTGAGTGTAGATTTAAGTTGTGATCATTAACTGAGTTGTCTATATTTGCAGCATGCATTTTTATTAAGTCTTTTTATTATTATGGGCTAAATCAAAATAGAATCCCCATCCTGATATTTTCATTGAGATATTACACATTCTGTTCCATTATCATGCTATGTTTAGTGTATTAGTTATGAGTTTTTTTTTTAGTTCAAAAAGGCTTTGTCCCCAAAGGACTGTTGTTTTCATTTTGCGATTTTGTGTCGATTGACTACAAACGGCGATCACTTTTCAAACTGTTGCCACAAAGTATTATTGCTGCTGCATAAATGTATGTAGTTTCTTGCATTGTGATAAAACATCGATACATAGACCCGTCAAATTTTGAATGACGTAATCCTACTGCAAATATGGCCATGTGGAAGACCAAATTTGAAATTTGGAATTTGTTTTATTATCGATTTCCTATTTTGTAAAACTTTAACAAATTTTTGATTAACAAAGTGAAGGATTTCAAAGCGAGCAATGGCAACGTTGTACAGAAAAAACATTTTTATCTCCAGCGCGTTAGTCTCCGTATCGGAAATTATAAAAATATGCTCATTTTAAAACTATTTTGTGATATTACTCTTGAACTGAATTTTATGGTTTAAGTGTGAAGAACGTGATATTTAATAAATAAATGTAACACACAAAATGTTAAAAAAATGCCCCTTTGGACGTTATTTAAAATCTGAAACATTTCAGATTTTATTTTTATTTTTTTTTAATACAGAGGTTGCAGATAGGCATGGCATCATTTTGTTTAAAAATGTGACACTTTAGGCGATACACATACAGCAAAAGCTTGAATATCCAGAATGCTTGGGAAATGCCAAAATCTGCATCATATCTCGGCATTCTCATACCATCCAGAAATATTAAATCTCTGGATAGTTGGGCTATACAAAAAGCAGTTCACAGTAGAAGAGCCATGTGAATGAAGAAAGAAATTTCTGATCTAACATGGGCTCACTGGTGGCCGAGCAGTAAAGTCGCTGAACATTGGTAGTTTGACGTTCGAATCCCCTAAATGGGCTGGCATCATGGTCGTTTTCTTGGTTTTTACCCATGTGTAACGTGTAGCCAGTTTATCTTAGTCCTCCACACAGGCATCCTTCCCTTAGGCAGATAGCCTTCGAGGCTTTGCCGTAATCGCATACTGTGGTCTAAAATTATAAAGACAGTCATCTTATTATTATCTGCCTGAATATTAACAGTCTATGTTTAAATTATATAACATTTTTAAAAGAAATGCATTTCATGTATAACATCCAACATATTTTGTAGGCCTTCAGCATATGAAATTCAAACATCTTGTTCAATTGTAAAATGCTGTCAGTCATGGAAAAGTTGATGGAACCAAACATACACTATTAATTCAGGTAGAAGCTTAAATGAAAAAGATTGATTATTCTTTATTTAATTAAAATCATAAATTTCAAATTGTAGATGATGATTTGCAGCTTACAATTATGCATTATAATATTTTGTCTTTCCCAATGCCCAAAATAAAGAAGCTGATGTGTACACCACATGACTTCCTTGTACGGAATATTAAATTATGAGCATTTTTTCCTGCATTTCATTTAAACTTATTGAATTGAATTAAATCTACCTCGTCAAATATAGTGCATAAACCACAACAGAATAATGGCACTCTTTAAAATTTACTATATTTATTTACCATAGGAACTTTTGGGTGCTAGGTTTACTTAATAATGTTGCATCTCATTCATTTTATAAATTGGAATACATAAAAATTATATTATCTGAAGAATTATCTAATTATTGCCTCATGTTCTATTCGAATACTGTGATAAATCTAAAATGATATATAAAAGAAATTAAACATATAAAAAAGAAACAGTTTTTCGCAGACAATTCAGCGCCACTTACCTAATGCACATGCGCTACTCATAAATATTCTCCTCTGTCTGAGACAGACTGGTGCCAATATTTGCTGCTAACATTATTTCATGACTCGTTGGGACTTCAGCGATTCCGGATTAGGGTTTTTTCCAGATTAAAGATCATCAATTTAAATTTGGTAGGATGGCATGCAGAAATTATAAAATAAAAAATATCAAACCATAATTTGTGAAATAAAGAGCAAATATGATCTAAAGGGTATCAAAATATACAAAAACAAACAAAAAAAAAGCTTAATATTTTATTTGTTTACTTTATTAAACATTTCTTTCAATGTCAGTTGTAAGTTGCTTCATTTTACGTGCTAATACTTTCTCCTTAATTCTATAAACAGATATAATTTCTTGTTCAGTTACAAAGTTCCGCTGTTCAAGTCCTGTAATTGCTGTGCTGAGAATACCAACTAACTTGTCAATTGAAATTTTTTCGTTTTCACTAACCTCTCTGTCACTTTCTTCATGCCTTTATCCATTTTTTGCAGCAATTCCACTTTTTGTTTGATGGACATTGAAACATGTTTTCGCTTTGTAGATCCTTTGGCAGCTGCAGAATCGGAAATCTTTTTTGATATAATCAAAAGTTCAAGCTTACTTTTTATAAAATTGCTCTAACAGTCTGCAAAAAATAATAAGCTTAAGGATCCAATTAGAAGATTAAGGAACAACGCAATCTGCAACATTGACTGAAATAGCTTATACTGTCCGTTATACATTAAATGCACCTGCGTAATGGTATTATGCGCAGGCGTAAACGCTACACGTGCGCAGAAAGTTTGTAGCTTTGAGGTCCAGATTATAGATCATTCCGGATTATGGACGTCCGGATTAAAAACTTTGTATTGTATTTTATAATGAAAAACTATTATATTGATACAATGCTATTATGAAAAACCAGTTAGATTGTTAATTGTTTATTTCTTGCACATGCACGCTGCCAGTGTAGAAAGGTGCCAAATTCACTTGATTACAGAAGAAAAGTACTGTGAATTATTTTAGACGCAGCAGTTTGGTTTGAATAATGTTTATGTATGAATTCAAAGCTATGATTATTTAATAATACTCTTTCTGCATATCATATATTATATTATTCAAAAAATTTTAAAAGGTATTTACTCATGCTGGAATGCTGGCAAAGCAACCCTCAGGAACGACCAACATTTTCTATCCTTGTCAGGGAGTTGGAAGCATTTATAATAAATGCTTCAGATGTGGTAAGGAACATTATATTTTCTGTTGTAAGAAAATTTATCATTAAACCATAGTTATTTACTATTACTACTTGGAAATTGCAAAAATGATAAAATTATTGTTTAGTTAAGCCCTACTTTTTTATGTTATCTATTATTAAATAATAATAGATAATTATTATTGTCATATTAATAATAGTTCATTATTATTGCTTGTTATTATGATTAATACTTTTTAATCATTGTTAAAGAATTAAAAAGTGTTTACTATGAGTGCTTCATATGTGATAAGGAATATTTATATTGTAATGTAAGTTTTATTATGAATTTTGTTTGTAATATTTTTTTGATGTTCAGTTTTGTATATGTAATACAAAAGCAGTTTTAAATAAACAATTAGTTCTGTTGTTTTATAAATAACCTTTGATTAGTTTACAGATATGTACACATATATTTAAAGAATGGGTTCTGATTTTCATGTTTTTAGGAATATTTAAGTCTTGGCTATGAATATGAAGAAGAGTCAACCGATGAATCTTCCGATGAGACAAATTCAGAAACTCAGGAAAGAACTGTCAATGTCAGTTAATAATGATAATGTGAAAGATGAAAATAAGTTATGTAACAATCTTATGCCATCTTTAGAAAAAGGGGGAAATTATTCATGCAACAGTCTTATGCCATCTTTAGAAAAAGAAGTAGGTATATTATTATCATTATGGAGCATTACATAAGATTTTCATTAATGAAAATGTTAAAATGCTTAAAATGTAGGCTGGCGGTTTAGGTGTATGAAATGTTGCTCGTACAATGAGATACTTCTGTTTTTAAATTTTTTGATTCGAGTATTTGTTTCCTGTTAAACAAAATATATATATATATATATATATATTTAATACCAGCCTTTTTGAATGGCAGCATCTTTTTGAATTACTCTTTAAGTATTATGTATGTAATTTTTTACATCAATTTTAATTACTTTATTTTGCATAATATTTTACTAATATGCTATTGTATGCTATAATTTCGAAGTCACTAACAGATTAATTTCTAATTATTAGAGAGTAAAATATTTTACAGAACAAGGTTACAAAAATGATATGGAGCTAGAATCTATGATTAGATAAAAGTGGCTGTGCCACTAAGGGGCATTTTGTATTAAATTTTAGATGATGGCTTATGCTTCCAATTGCAGCAAATATTAGATGTTGCAATTTGAAAAAAGAACCTTCAAGTGCTATTACCAAATACTATTTTGGATTGTGTGGGGGGAAAATAATACACCTTTGGTTTTTAGTGGATTAAAAAAAAATCCTCGTGTTAAAAAATCTGCATAAGCATTTTACGTATTGTATATATGATTGTTTTTTTAATTAGTTATTGTAAATTACCATCATCAAATTGTTTTAATTAAGTATTAACATATCAGGGATGCTACATCTGTTATTCATTTTGACTTTTCATGTCTGATTGCCATCATAAGTGATGATATGCTTTAGGTAATCGTATTAATTGTGTAATTTGTCATGCATTTTTCAAATTATGCTTTGATGATCTGTAGTTATTGTTTTACCTTTTTTACACAGTAATTAAATGATATCAAATTTTTATTTTTTTATATCCATATTATTCACCTCTGTTTAAATAAGTATTCTTATTATTTTAATCTTTGTTATATAAATTATGTAGGTAAGAACAGGAAAATAATATGGACTTCAAGATTTATAAAAATTCAGTCAGCATTGACCATGCTGTGTCAAACTTGTTTTAAGAATTCATGGGAAGGCTTATTAGTGTTAAAGTATATAAATAAATAAAAAGTATTTTTGATAAGCAGTAGATTTTAGTGCTATAAGTAAAAAGCAGTCAATTTTAATTTGTATATTTTTTTAAATACAGATTTAGATGATCTAGTTTAGATTAATTTAAATTGACAAATATTTTTTTAAACGTTTTAAAAGTGTTAAACTTGTATATGTATTTCAAAGACATGTTAAGAGCCATTTTATAAAAATCACATTACTTGCTATAGAGTGATGGTAATTTATCACTTTGGGCTAAATAAAAAGCTGAATTATAGAAGACATAAAGAAAGCATTTAATATCACTTGGTGATTTATGTACCAAAAATGTTACAGTAGAAGAATATTGATTTCAGTATGGGATTTAAATACTGTTTGAAAGAAGAAAAGTTAGAAAATTAGTTTGTTTGAAAGGAACCCTGTTTAGAAGAAAGAGGGGAAAGAGGAAATGAATTGAAAATAGATTTAAAAAAATTTCATAAAGTATGTTTATTTGTTTGCAAGTAACTGTGATGTACCAGTCAGTGATTTGGTGTCTGGAACAATTTGATGTATTTATTTTGAAAAGATAAGTTTTCTGTAAAAAATGTACAAATACATATAAATATACATATATACAAATAATGTACAACAAAATATACAATAAATGTACAAATACATATATATAAAAGCAGAGAGATGTGTAAAATTTTGCAGGTTTTATAAGTAGACCTTGAAAGTGTGTATAAAGTGTTCCAGATCTGAAAAGTAAGTGAATTTGAAAAACCTTGGTAGTGAACCTTGAAAATTTCTCTTTCCCAAAAGGTCAGCAATAGATTTAAAAATTAAAAAAGTAGTTTTGTTTCTGCCATGATAAAAAATTTTTTTTATCAGAAAGCCAATAAATTGTGTATTAATTTCAGTGTTCAAATTAAGTATGAAAATTATAATTTTTATTCTATCAGATTTCTACTGATACTGTAAGTGTCTGTATATACCATTTTCTGTATACTTTGCATTGAATAGTTGACACTTCATTATTATTATCAAATTAAAGAACTATACTTATATTTAAAAGTAAACTCAATCTTTTAATTTCCTAGATTCAGTTTAATATAGAAACCATTTGATTTAACAATAATTAGATAGTAAATATATTTGATGTATTTAAAATAATCTAATATTTAATACCTAGATGTAATACAAAAATATGTAATTATCAGCACTATTTGCAGTAGGTAACTTGTTTTAAAGACATTACTGCCCTTAGTTTGATTTGAAATGCTTTTGAGTTTAAATTCTTACAATTCTTGTTAGGAAGTGTATATAAAAGCATCTGAGTGGTGGCATCCCTGAACCTTACTCAAATCAAAGTGCATATAAATATGTTTGTTGTTTTATTATTTTATTCATGGATAAAAGAAATATATTATGGAAAACTTGTTCTCAAGTACAAATTTTTTTTATTATTATTTTTTCTTTCTTTCTCCCCTCCCTCCATTTATATGTGCAATTTCATACCATTTATGTTGCCAAAGCATCTTATAAGCATTTAATACTTTGTGCATTTTCCATTTTCATACTACTTTCAGAATATATATATTTGTATTATATGCTGAACATACAATTTGTAATGTGTATTCTTAATATTTATTACAAATTAATCACTGTTTAATACCTTATGAAAATTTGCTATTGCTTATTTTAAGCAACATAAATTCATTTGGGCAGGAGGTGAGAATATTAAGTTTTAATATTTTAATTTTTGCATTACTATCACTGAATTTTATAAAATCCAGTTAAATCTTTTCATCAAGAATGGGTGAATATATATCAGAACTGTAACTATTTAGTTTCCCTTGAATATATTAGTTTGTCCAGAAAATAATGCAGGTTTTTAACCTACATCTTTAAAGTATCATAACTTGACTCAGTAACAGTTTTATTAATCAAAATAAGCCCCAGCTGAATCAATGTATTTTTGCCAATGAGATATAAGAGAGTAAAATTTTGGAGTTCTAGACGCGATAAAGTTGTCAAAAGGCATTTTTGACCTTGTCTTGGTTTCTGAAGCATTTCTTCTGTAGAATGATATCCAGATGTTTGAAAAAGTGGTAATCGGCCGGCGAGAGGTCTGGCGAATATGGGAAAAGAAGGAGAGTCTAGCATTCCAATTTGTCCAATTTCTGTAGGATCAGTTGCACGATGTGCGGCCGAGCATCGTCATGGAGAAGGACTGGCCGCTTTTTGTTGACCAATGCCGAGCGCGTGTGTGCAATTTTTGGTGCATTTCATTGATTTGCTGACAGTACGTATCTGCTGTAATCGTTTCGCCCAGATTTAGGAAGCTGTGGTGGGTGAGACTGGCCTCAGACCACCAAACAGACACCATAATTTTCTTTTGGTGCAAATTTGGCTTTGGAAAGTGTTGTGGTGTCTGACCGCGGTAAAACCACTGAGCCGAATGTCGCCAGCTGTTGGAGAGAATCCACTTTTCATCGCATGAAACAATTCGATCAAGAAAAAGGTAATTTTTGTTGCGGAGAAGAAGAGCAGATGACACTTCTAAACGGTGATTTTTTTTATTTTCGCTCAATTCGTGAGGTACCCGCTTATCGAGCTTCTTTGACTTTTCGATATGATTCAAGTGATCAGAAATCATTGTTTTGCTTATGCCAAGCTCTCGAACAGTTATGCATGGGTTTGTTTCAACTGAAGTCTTCAAATCATCATCATCAACAGCTGAAGAGAGTTCCCGATGCTCTTGATCTTCCATGTCAAATTCTGCATGATGAAACTTTTAGTATCACCGTTGAACTGTAGATTCATTAACACTTTTCTCACCCAATACTTTGTTTACATTTTGAGAAGTTTGTGCTGCGCTGTGGCCTAGCTAGTACTCATAAAATTAAATTTGCAGAAAATCCCGTTTTGACATTTAAAAAAAACACCTTGTAAATATTTTTTAAAATAATTTTGGAACAAAATGATATTATAAAAATAGAGAGTGAAAAAAGAGCTTCAAAATGATATATAAACCAATGTAATTCAAAATATTTTTGTTTCTAAAAATGTACAGGAAAGATAAATAATTGCAAAAACTTGCATTATTTTCCGGACAACCGGATACACCAGGACTGTAACTATCTAGTTGCCCTAAGTAATGACCTGAGCAGCTAAAAAGGAAATTAATTTTTTTAAGTCCAGTCAATCTTGTCTTATTTTATTTAAATTTCTTTTAATTTTTCAGATTCAATAAACAAATTACCATGTTATGTTTCACTTATAAACTTAATACCTGCTGCTGGCAATTTAACTAAGCCAAATGAATAAAAGAAATAATGAGAATGATAAAAAAAAATTCTGAATATATATTACATTTATTGCTTTTAATGTAAATAAATAATCAGTAACAGTGGTCTTGCTAAAAATTGATTAAGCAGGTGGACTCTGTTATCTGAATTTTTATTCCAACTCAAAGAAATGGGATAGTTAATCCAACATGAACAGTTACAAAGAACTGGCCTACCTATTGGCTTTACAGAGACAAGGCCATATCACCAACTTGATTGTCTATATCTAGGAGTGATAGTGTACAAATGAGCCAAATACAGATTGTGCCTTAAAGCAGGGGTGGGCAAATAGTTTTAACTACTGACCAAAAATGGTCTCTTTTGGTGCCTCATGCAAGCAGGCCTGTGATGATCTTTTGAGGTGCTCGTGTCGTTTTCGGGATATAATTAGGAGGAGGGAACAGTCCTTTCCAGTACAAATTTTTCAAAAAAAAAAAAAAAAAAAAAAGTTACAAATACACAAAAATAGAATCTATTCCTTATTTTTTGTAAAATGATTGTCATATATATTGTTTCATTTTTTAAAAAAAATTTAAGGATGAAATGTTCCTCTAAGCTACCTTTTCTGATCCATCTTTTTATCTCAATAATATTCATATTTCAGTGCATAACTTCTAAATTAAAATTACTAGAAATGATAGGACTATTTTCTTTGGCAGATGCACACGTTTTCTAGCATATCTAGTATTCTCAGCTTAGAACTATCATTGGTATAGTCATGCATATACACTTTAATAATAGATGTTCACGCTTGCTGCTGATTTTTTAACTTTGCATACGGAATTAGGTGGGAAAGAGATGAAAATGTTGTAGCACTGGATTTCATAATACAAAGCAATTAGAAATTAGTAAGGGCTGCATTTGACCCACAGGCCAGCATTTGCCTACCCGTGCCCTAAAGCTACTGCATATAATACACTGCCATTACTTTCTTTATTCTTAAAAATAATGCATATTATTTTAATTAGTATTACCTTAAAAGAGATTTGCATGCATAGATATTGTCATTTTGATTTATATCAGCACATGGACATTTTTTTTAAAAGATAGTAGAAAAAGTTACAAAAATAAAGATAAATTGCTACTCTTGTCCACATGTACAGATGTGAAATAATTTATAGTTTATCTTATTAACTTCTACAAGTTTGAAATTAGAAAATAATGAATGAATGCACCATTTAACTTTTAATTCAAAATTAAAAGAAACTACAAAATTTGTGTTGTTACTAATAATGATTACACACGTAATAGCATAAATAAGAACTACAAATTTAATACGGAGTAATTGAGTATGTATATCTTTGTCCAGTTCACTAGGCATAATAGTTGTTAGTACATTGGATTGCAGCTGCAATAACTCACGTTTAAGTCCTGGTCACAGCAACTTCTACCTTCTAAATAATCTCTTCTGTGTGCTCAAATATTGATTAACAGTTGTTGTTATGATATTGTTAGTAGTTTTTTTTAGTAGATTTATAATAAATGTATTTTATTAAACAGTGTGCAGTTAAATATACAAAATGCAACCAGACTGCCAATCACTACAACAGATTTGCTTCACTACTGTCTTATATGTTAACATTTTCATTTGAATAGAATACTTTTATTCATAATGAATCCTGTCTACTGGATATCAGTTTATATATAAAATTGTTTTTCTCATATGAGTATATATTTGTGATGTCTTATTTATAAATTATGTTTGAGCAATTTTTTTAAGAGCATGTAAAATTTATATTTAATTCAATATAAGATCTTTTTATAAAACTGAAGGAGTATCCATAAGCTCTAGTTCATTGGCTTTTCAAATGAGCCAGAAAAGGTCTGGTTTGTCATTTCATGATTAAAGCATCCCGAATAAAATATGTGAGCAATCAATTTATTGATTATTAGTCATGTTCATCCTAGTCATAAAACTAGAAAAATATAGATTTATAGTTTGTTATGATGTGCATATGATGATAAAAAAATCATTTTCCAAACTTAGACAAAATACTAGTATCCAGTTATGTGAAATACGTTTTGTAAATTACACCATAGTAGAGTCATTCGTTATGTCCACAATTAGCTGCAATTTATTTTGTATCATCCACTTTTATAAAATGCTTCTCTCTGTACATTGAAATTATTCCTACGAAGTTACATATACTAAATTGCTAAATATTGTCATGTATGCTAAAATAAGCATCTAGCAGTCTAGATAGTGATTTAAGAATATCTGCAAGTGCAGTTTTATATTTATGCTATATATAAACTGTAGTTAAAAATTGTATGGAAGAAAGTACCATTTGTTAGTTTAATGTACCCCCTCTTTCTTTGAACCTCAACCATTTTGATTAATTTAGAAATGCTTAATAAGGGTTATATATTTAAAATATTTTTATAAATAAATACTGTGATGTAAAGTTCATGAAAATTAGATTTTGTAGATATGATTTGTTATGCATTATGTGTTTTCATTATATAAGTTGTTTCAAAATTACTGCATGACTAAATATTTGTTGGAATAGTTAGTTTTCGGCCAGCAGTTGTAATTTCAGAAATTAATCACATGATGACTAGTATCATCTGACACCTTTTGATAAAAATATATAAGTTTTATAATTTGGCTTTCTGAAAAAAAAGGGGGGGAAGAAAACTTTTTTTAACTCAAGTTTCTTTTTTCTCTCTCTCTCTCTCATTGGGGGGGGGCAGGGGGAGGTTAGTTTTGTAATGTGCAGAACTGTCTCTGAGAAAGTTATCTAATTTAGATGACTTGACTACCTTTCTATCTAATGAAAAAAAATTGGCATAGATGCCAGTTTTCAAGGGTAGTATAAAAAATGAATTCCATTAGATGAAAAATTTCAAAACTTTTTAAAAAGGGAATGTGTAAACCTCCCTTATCTGTTTGTTTTCCTGCAATAAAAGGTGTTAAGAATTTCCATTACGTTTATGTAAATTAGAAGAAAAAGATTATACCATTCTGGGAGAATTCTTTAAATTGAATTTTAAAAAGGAGAAACTATTGAATTTTATAGCTCCAAAGTTAGATAGCTGCAAATTGGGAAAAAAAAAAAAAAAAAAAAATTAGAAATGTTTTAATAAATTTTTGAAGTTTTTAAAAAATATTTTAAAATTAATATTTAAATTAATTATTCATATTTTATTGCTTTCAAAATTTAAAACATCAAAATCTGAACATTTAAGGATTACTGAATTTACTCATTCCATTTTTGAGCAAAATTAATATTAAAAAAAATTATATACAATTACATTTACATCCACTTTCAAAAAGTCTAACGATTACCCCGATGTGATTTCAGTCTCGACAATAAAACAAAATATCTCAATGCAGTTAAACAAATTAAGATTACAAACAATACAAAAAGCAAAAATTTTGATTTTAGCATTTGGTGCTAAATTTAAACTGACAAAAATTTTTTACATAACAAATTTTCCCAAATGGCTAAATGTGTATGAAACAAATTTTGTAGAAAAATATCAAAAACATTTGAACTAATCCTAAGAGTGAAAAAAAGGGAAACCTCCCTGTAATTATAGAGAGGAACTTAATAGAATTTCTGAACGAAACAATAATGAAGAAAACATTTTGGGACCGAAATTAAAGTGGCATAGTATTTCAACTTTCAAACATGGAGCTTGGAAGGAGCAAGGCTGCCATTTCTTGTGAAAATTATTCAAACATTGAAATATTCAAATTAGACTGTGTACTTTGAACAAAAACCTTGCTAAGGTTGTCAAAATAGTGGTCTATGTGAGAAATTTGGCATCAAAAAAGGAAGAAGGAAATTTAGGTTCGTCACAAAGTTAGTAGTGAAGCAATGGGAAAGAGACCTACAAATGGGGAAAATTATTTATGCTAACATTAAACATTAATAATAAAGTATAAATTAAACTTTTGGTAAAAGTTACAGAAAACAAAGGTAGTAAGTTTAAAGTCAATATTCTTCTCCCAAATATAGTGATTGTGGGGCTTGAAACTAAATTACTATAACTTGGTAGTAAAAGGAAAGAGGCAGTATTATAATACAGAAGCAGTATTATGAAAAGAAAATTATTTACATATAAATAACTTCCTAATTTTATTTACCTTCTTGCATTACTCTCTCTGCAGTTTAAAATGATATAACCAAATCAAAATATAAAACAAAATATTATGTTTAGCAGTTAATTTTTTGGGGGGGGCTTCCCATAGGAAGGTAGATTCACAGTGAATTAATTTAGTAGAGTTGAAGTCTCTTCTTTTACTGTGAAGTTTAATATTTTTTAAATAAAAAATGTGTTAATCTAAATAGTTAATTTCTTTCTGAGTAGTATTAGCTTTATCTAGGACTAATTTGGTTGGATAAGTACTGTGTTCTTGTTTTCTCAAAATTATTTATTGCAGTAATACCATCAATATATCTAAAAATCAGTTTTATCTACTCGATTAAAAGATTTTTGTAAATGATATTCTTTAATAAATAAGTAAAGCTTTTTATTTGTCAAATTCCAGTTACATTGGCCGTTAGGCCATTAAACTCCTTGCTTGGCAATCGCACTGAAATCTACAAGAAAAATTTGTCAGTGCTTCACACTCATCCAAATGTTTGCATCATCATTGGCCATCCACAGTTACATAAAACACACAACGGCAAGTCAGCTAGTCCAATTCGAAATAAGTTATTCTGTAGACAGTCATGTCCCATCAATAGTCTAAAAGATGCAACCGCAACTGTTTGTGGGTGGCCAGGAACAAAAGCTGGGTTTATTGAGAGAACACTCCAAGGCTTGCCCTCACAAGCCCGAGTGGCAAAATCTCTAAAGTCTTATGATATGTTAGCACTTTTTACCCTGAAAAAGGACAGTTTGGTGGATCTCTAGGAGCCATCAACAAGTGGCAAAGATATAGTGGAACTTTGAATGTGACAAAGACAAGTGGCAGATTTAGCGTAACCCAGGGTGCACCACGAGGAGGCCTTCCACACTACACTCCTAAATAAGTAAACAATTACGGACATGTGTGGAGAAGGAAACACCCGTAGCAATTGCATTAATTTGTTGAGAAAAATAGTCTTTAAATTGGATGTAATTATTAAAAAATGCACAACTGAGGTGATTTTTCCAATTATGTTCTGAAATAACCATAAGAATTTTAGAAAAAAGCCCAGGAAGAGCTACTAGACTGTTAAAAATTTCCGTTTGTGGAAGAGAAGTGTAGATATTTTTTAAATTGTGAGAAGTGATTTCTTTTATTTCCAAATCTTTAAATGTAGAAAGAACAAGAAGGTTATTATTAATAATCCAATTCTAATGATTAAGTTGAGAGCAAATATGCTGTGACTGTGCACACATATATATATGTACGTATCACGTTTATTGGCAGCATTTATATACACTGCAAAATCTTTAATCCGGACTTGTCGGGACTTCGGCGATTCCAGATTAGGGTTTTTTCTGGATTATAGATAATCATTTTAAATCTGGTAAGATGGCATGCAGAAATTATAAAATTAAAAATATGAAACCGTAATTTATGAAATAAAGAGCAATTTTTGATCTAAAGAGTATCAAAATTTACTAAAAAAAAAGCTTAATATTTATTTGTTTACTTTATTAAACATTTCTTTCAATGTAAGTTGTTTAAGTTGCTTCGTTTTTTGTGCTAATACTTTCTTTAATTCTGTAAACAGACATAATAATTTCTTGTTCAGTTCCACTGTTCAAGTTCTGTAATTGCTGTGCCGAGAATACCGACTAACTTGTCAATCGAAATGTATTTGTTTTCAATAACCTCTCTGTCACTTTCTTCACTATTGGAAGTGGTACATCAAAAAATGCTTTCACTTTGTAGTTCCTTTGGCTGCTCCAGAATCAGAAACTCTTTTCGACATAATCGAAAGTTCTTTTATGAATTGCTTGTAAAAGCTTACTTTTTATAAAATTGCTGTAACAGTCTGCAAAAAATAAGCCGGATCCAATTAGAAGATTAAGGAACAAGGCAATCTGCAACGTTAACTGAAATAGATAATTAAATAATTTTAGCCTAGCTTATACCGTCCGTTATACATTAAACGTGCATGCGTAAACGTATTATGCGCATGCATCAATGCATATGTGCATTTGTAAATGCATATGTGCATGTGCACATGCATAAACGTATTATGTGTTTATGCATGTGCAGAAAGTTTGTAGTTTTGAGGTCCGGATTATAGATCATTCTGGATTACGGACGTCCGGATTAAAGACTTTGTACTGTACTATATATTTATATTTATGTATGGTTATCATCTAGTTATTGAAAACAAAATTCGATACCGAAGAAAATTTTGATTGTACAGTGATGAATTTCTATTTTTTCTCAAAATTTTAATTATGAAAATTTCTGTTGAGTCTGTATAAAATCTTAACTTTAGTACATTTTTGCTGAAGGCCGTATGAGGACCAAAACTATCCATTAGAAAAGTGATGATTTTTAATAATTAATTTTTTAAATTAGGACAATAGACCTATGATTATTTTGTCTCAGCAGGCAAGGAAGTTTCCCAAAGTGGTTTCAGAAAAATCATAAAATTTGGCAGCTTAGGACATTCCACATTCAAAGTTTTTTTTAAAAAGTGACTAGATACATACTAAACGCTGTAACTGAATCATTAACATATATAATTATGATAACAGTGCATTAACATTGCACAATATTTCTATCCAGGGTGGTATTTCCTTAATGTAGAATCCTATTTTTAGAGAAAAAAATCACTAGACACCTATATACTTTGTGGGTTTTGATTGTAATAGATGGCAGCTTAGTGTTGCTTATGAAAATACCCCTGCCCCCATCCCAGAATAGCAAACAACTGCTGGATGTTAGTTAGCGACGTAACATCAGGAGAACATGAATTCAAAGTTGTAGTTTGGATTTTTCTCATTTTAAATTATAGTATTTCCTCATGAAAATTTTAGTAAATAAAGGTAGAATTATTGAAATGTGAAAAACAATGCAACAGATACAAAATATATTTTACCTTCGAAAATCTGAAATTTGATGATTTATTTATTTTCTGAACATTTTCAAAGTGGCAAAGTCAATTAAAATCCTCAAAAATGTATGCAAATTTTGGTGCTACAATTACTGTATTATTATTATTATGTAACTACTTTATCCATTATCAGTTGTTCAAGAAATCTACATCATGCAAATTTTTTTAAATGTCCTGCAATATGAAATATTATATGAATGTCTGTTGTTTGAATCATTCACTAGCAGCTTTAAGCCAATCTGCAAACTGCATTTAATTGCATCAATTAATTGAATTAAGCCAATCTGCAAATTGCATGTTATACCTTCGATTTAATCATTGTATTAATACTTTGTCTTTCGCTAAGTATTTCTTTGTTTCTGATTATGTATTTGTTTTTATATACTTATTTCTCATGTGTGAAAAGCTAAGATGTAAATATTTTGTGTTTCCTTTAATGAATTCCTAGATTATCTTTTTTAAATTAAGAACTAATCAAACTGTGTCTTCACCTGGAATTTTTAATAATGGTTTTGTTTAAATTTGAATTAAGAATTCAAATTTTGTTAAAATGTTATTGTAATCTGGAAAATAAATATCTATCTTAAAAAACTCAAAAAAAAAAAAAAAAAAAAAAAAAGGTTGTTTTATTTATTTATTTATTTATTTATTTTTTTGGGAGGGGGTCGAAAGTTCCTGATTCACAGTAAAATAAAAATATGCAAGCATACAAGCTCTACCAGAACAACCACAGATCACTGTAACTTGAACCTTAAGTTACTACTGTAACCACTTAAAGTACCACTAATTAATTTTATGTATAACCACAAATGAATACATTACTTAATACCATCGTAAATTTAAATATAACCATAGACTAGTATTATTTCTTTTTGCAGTATGTTTAAAATACTATTTCAGTCATTAAGGTTCTGTCAGTAAATATATAATTTTATATTTTTTAATAACTATGCAGAATTATGCTAAATACTGAGATACAATAAAGTGCTGAAGTGCAGTGTAAAAATTACTGTATAATTTTTTATGTTTTTATTAAACCTGTTCATAGTA